TAATCAGTATCCTAATCATGGTCTTTCCCCTCAGACTCCTCAGTAAAGCACCTCTGGTAGAAGAGTACTGTATTTGTTAATTCCTTTACTGGTCTAGGGACTTAAATTTGTTAATGTAAAAAATACGTAGAGTGGTCTGTTCTTTTAGTGAGGAGGCTATTTCTGGGCTTTGCCACAACAGATAAGGCTGTTAATGGTGCTGTGTCCAGATCGTGAGCAGGGTATTAGTGAAGAGGTTGTTTGACACTTAGAAACCTGAATTATGTGTTGGGACTTGATTTTAAAGTGTGTTACTTGGTTTATTGTGGTCCCCTGGGTCATGAACTCACAAAAGGAATTTTACTAGAGGAAGTCTGAAAACTTGGAAACTTCCCCTGCCATTCTTGGAAGATTTCTCACTTTAGATCTGCCTGGATAAATTCTTTCAAATTTCCTTTATTTTCTAGTCCATCCATTTATTTGTCTAGCTTATATTGAGAGGAGTAAGTTGGTTAGAGGCAGAGACTAGTCCTTGTTGGGTTTCTAACTGTAGCTTTTGGCACCTGATGTCACTCCTGCTGAGAGATCTTATACACTTATAACCTTATAAGTGAATCTCTTGTTCCTGTAATCTTGCAGGCAGGACTGGTATCCTAGCCACCTCTGTGTGCTCTCCTCTCAAAACTTTGATGTAGGTCAGGGGTTTGTGATCTAACCAAGCTTGGGGGAAACAGTCAGTTCTTTGACCTCTAGACCTCCACACGACACTCCATCTCCCAACTTGGAGCATTTTCACTAGTTGTCTCTCATTCCTGGAATTCTTTCCTTCCTCATCTCTGCCTTCTCACTTCCTTCAAGTCCCAGCTAAAATCCAACCTACAAGAAGTCTTCCTTGATCCCCCTTCATGCTAATTCCTTCCGTTTGTTTATTATTGCTAATTTATCCTGTATGTATCTCGTTTGTACATGGCTGTCTTTCCCCTTAAAAGCAGAAACTGTCTTTTGCCTGTCTTTGTAGCTTTGCACAGTGCCCGGCACATAGTATGCATTTAATAAATGTTTGTTGACTAACTGGCCCTAAGACAAATTGGGCTTCAGCCAGAAGAAGGGATGACTGGACTAGAGAAGCGCATAGTGCTCATTCTGTCATCAGTAACAGTTAAGTCTCTACCGAAGTATAGGTTGTGCTTGAGCTCTGATTCTGCTGTGAATTGTTACCCAAGTGAACTTCACAATTCAGCTCTCTTATCCCAGCCTCATTTTCCTAATCTCTAAGATGAGGTTAGACATGATGACTTCTAAGGTTTCTTCCATAGCTAAAGTTCTGTGACTCATTACATCTGGTGTAGCGACTTAGGTGCTAGAGCTAGAACCCAGAATTCCCTGTCTTTCTTCATGATAAGCTGAACTAGTATGAGAAAGGACATCTCTGTGGTAGGAGATACAGTGGGAGATGGAAAGCGTCTGGAGGTGAGTGGGGGAATGATTAAGGTGATAATGGACAGCATCTCTTCTAAGAACATGATGCTAAAAATGGGCAGAAAGTGCCAGCTTGGGGAAGGTAAACTATTCCCTCCCCCTAAGTGGACTTCAAGGCTGGGAGCACTTTTCCTGGTGAGGATGGGCACCTCACTCCAAGTCACTGATGTTCCCCTTGTTCTTACAGTGAACAGGGGCTCTGGAGAGCAGTGTGCCCCTGAGCCCCGACCCAGCATGGCAGGGCTCAAGCGGCGGGCCAGCCAAGTGTGGCCTGAGGAGCGGGGAGAACAGGAGCATGGGCTGTACAGCCTGCACCGCATGTTTGACATCGTGGGCACCCACCTGACGCACCGAGATGTGCGCGTCCTCTCCTTCCTTTTCGTTGATGTGATTGACGACCACGAGCGTGGCCTCATTCGAAGTGGACGGGATTTCTTGTTAGCACTGGAGCGCCAGGGCCGATGTGACGAAAGTAACTTTCGACAGGTGCTGCAGCTGCTGCGTATCATCACTCGACATGACCTGCTGCCCTATGTCACACTCAAGAGGAGGCGGGCTGGTGAGGGGGTTATTGGGGACTGGGAACATGGGGAGGTCAACGAAGGAGTTCATGAGGGACTGGGGAGGCGTAGCACTGTGGTCCTGGGTGTGAGTCTTGCCCTATAAAGCATCTGGATGAGAGCGGCATATAAAGCCCCTAGTATAGGATTAGATGGGTATGGGTGTATGTCTCCCATCTTTCCCTGAATGACTTACTTTTCTTCTCTCCCCACACACAGTGTGCCCAGACCTTGTAGACAAATACCTGGAGGAAACGTCAATCCGTTACGTGACCCCCAGAGCCCACAGTAACCCAGAGCCGGGACCTCCCCCAACCCCTAAATCAGGTGAAAAGATGTAGATGTCCTTTAGTTCCTCTCAGTAAGAGGATTCTAGCCTTATTCTATGCCTAACTTCCAAAACCAGGAGAAAGGATATTGACTCTTCCCCTTTTGGCCCCGCACAAAGCTAAGGCGATGCCCCTAAATGTACTCTTTGCTGTTCCTTTTAGGTTTCGTGGATTATTTTAAAATGTTTGATGGCTGTTCTTTTCTCCCCTTCACTGTCACTTTCCACTAATTCTGCCTCTTCCCCTCCTTCCCAAAGAAAAAGTTAATCAACAGTCAACTTATTTTCAGTTCCATAAATTGACAATGGAATAGATAGATGATTATAGGTCTTTACTTCATTTACTCCCCTTTTTCCACTAGTGCCTCCCCACTATCCTGTGGTGTGCTGCCCTAATGCTGGCCAACAGATGTGCATCAAACGGCCGGCTCGGGGGAGAGCTACATTTGTAAGTCAGCGGAAGCGCCGGAAGTCCGTGACACCAGACCCCAAGGAGAAACAGACCTGTGGTAAGGGAGGCTATAGTGCAGCCCACGCAGGGAGCTAGTGGGAGGGAAGTTACTTTCCAAAAGGCAGACCATACTTTTTTTCTTGATGGATGGGGACATTGAAAAGGGTTGAGGCGCTGACCTTTTGCCTTGTCATGGCCCTACTGTCCTTCTAGAATGATCCTGAATTAATTTCAGGTTGTACTATATCAAAGGCTCTCCCTGCTAAGTCTCTTCCCATCCAAGGTGGAGATAAGAGTTAAAGTAATTTGTGCAATGAAGCTAAGTCTATTTAATATAGAAGAAGGTCATCCCCACATCCACAAATGCAAGTTTGATTTGGAGGTGATGTAGTTTTATTGTGCCCCATTACTATGAAATCTTTCCCTCTACTGCCTTTTTCTCTTGGCCCAAGCATGGGCTCAAACAAATTTGGACATACATAAGGGAAATCCCAAGATGAGACATGTATAGAGAAGCCATAGGGGAACTCTACCCTGGAGATGGGTAACTACTACCTTACTGTAGTGCCTTGGTCTTCCACCCCGGTCACTCTCCTAACAGGGTATGGCCTAAGCACTCAAACTTTTCTTTCCTATAGACATCAGGCTTCGGGTGAGGGCTGAGTACTGCCAGCACGAGACAGCTCTGCAGGGCAACGTCTTCTCAAATAAGCAGGACCCACTTGAGCGCCAGTTTGAACGTTTCAACCAGGCCAATACCATCCTCAAATCCCGGGACCTGGGTTCCATCATCTGTGACATCAAGTTCTCTGAGCTCACCTACCTCGATGCCTTCTGGCGCGACTACATCAACGGCTCCCTTCTGGAGGCGCTCAAAGGTGTCTTCATCACAGACTCGCTTAAACAGGCTGTGGGCCATGAGGCTATCAAGCTGCTGGTGAATGTGGATGAGGAGGACTATGAGCTAGGCCGACAGAAACTCCTGAGGAACTTGATGCTGCAGGCACTGCCCTGACCCTCCTTTCACCTTTCACAAATCTGGGGCCTCAGTTTGGCACCCACCTCTGGAGTTCACACACTGTCACCTTCGCCCCCCCCTTCTTTTTTAAAGGAAAAGACAAAAAAGTGGAAGTGGTGTGTCTCCCCATCCCTTCCCTCACCCAGACTTCCACAAGCCTGGGAATCCAGCCTGGGCAAGGAAGAAAGAAGCAGTCTTGTCTCAGAGTGCTCTGTGGAACCACTGCTGAAGTGGTTTGGGGGGAGGGGGTAAATAGGAGGCTGTCTCAATCGCCCTCAGGCTTCATGAGGGCTAGTTTTGTTTTGTTTTGTTTTGTCTGAGAAACCAAAGGGCTGTGGTGTGGGAACTTGCTGGAGAGAGGTTAAGAGTCAGGGTTGTATCATGGGGATTTACTACCACATTCCCTCCACCCTACTGAGATTGTAAGGAACAAGTTGAACAACACTTTTAAAGGTACGGCCTCCTCACTTGCTCACTCCTGGCCCCTGGTGCTTCCCTCTCTTTCCCTCCCATTCCCCAGGGACAGAGATTAGGGGCTCTTTTTCCTAGTCTTGGTCCCTCCTTTACCCTTTGTCAGTTCCTCTTCTAGGAAGCAATGAGAAGGGAGGACTGGGGCATCCCGAGAACCCTTTGTGTGTGCACTTTTGTGCACAAGTGCCTGTATGTATGCAGGATGAGGGGGAAGGGTTGCTGGTAGCACACACTCCCTGAGAAAGGGGTGTGTGACATTTTTTCCTTCCATGTTCAAGTGAAAATAAATGTATCCTGCAGCCCATTCTCATCTCTTTTGTGGTCTGGCTTGGGGTGGAGTTGGGGTTGGGACATCCCTTTGAGTCTTATCTCGGTACAGCCTTTCTCTTCCTAGCCTTCAGTGCTTGAACAGCCCCAGTTCCTTTTTACTCCTCAGGATTGGGCTTGGACAGAAACTCACTTCTGCACTTGTTTTAAGGAGTTATGAATGAGCCTACTTGCTACCACAGTCCAGTACATTTGCTACACTCTTTCCCCTACCCCCAAAGGAGATGTCGAGACTTGGACTTCATGACTATATTTTTTCAATGTCAGTGCTGCTCAGACTTCAGTGTAGCTTTAGTTTTCATAAAATTGTGATTTAAGAGCTCATCTATATGCAACTAAAGTCTGAGCCCATAAAAGCATTTTTTGGGGCTTTACAACAGGTTGAACCTGTATGCCACAAAGGAAAGGGAGTAGAGGTTCTTCAGTGGCCTGGGGTCCTGCCTCCAAGCCACAGATCCTCCTCGGCCCAGAATAGGACCCCAGTTCAGTCAGCAGGTGTGAAGGCAAGGATTTGGGCGACCCAAATTGCCATACAGGTCAGGCCTTCGGTGTTGGGCCACAGGCATATGCTGGCGTACTTGGCGCAAATAGGCCAGGTCAATGTGGGCAAGGCAGAGGCCTGGCCCCTCAGAACAGCGTGCTACCACAACTCCCCAGGGGTCCACTACCATACTGTGTCCATAACTCCCTCTTTTTTCATGGTGCTGTCCCCACTGTGCTGCTGCAACTACATAGCACTGTGTCTCGATGGCCCGAGCCCGGAGCAGCACCTGGGGAGAGAATGAAGGTGGATGAAATCATCTTCAGCATCTGGAGGGGAGAAGTGGGAAGGAAAAGAGTGGTGACCTTTGGAAGCAAGTATTTCCCACTCAGTTGAGAGACAGGGAAGAAATACATTTCTTTCTAGTCAGATAGGTAGGTACTATATATTGGTAAGTCCTCACCTCCCAGTGGGCTGGTCCTGTGACTAAGCCAAAGGCTGAAGGGTAGGTGAGAATTTCAGCACCATCCTGGGCCAGTGCAAGGGAAAGCTCTGGAAAACGCAGGTCATAGCAGATGGCCAGGCCTATCTGGGATGGAGGAAAGTAGAACATTTAGTTTTCTCTGGTGTACTGGCCACTCTTCATACTATTCCATTGTTATCTTGCCCCCTCCAACATATTCTCATTCCTTTTCCCCACTTTAACCTCCTCCCTTCCATCCCCGCCAACCTTGCCAGCTGGTGTACTGACAGGTGACCCACGAGTGGGCCCAGGTACAGTAGAGGTGCTCTCACACATGGATCCCTGTCCTGGAAGCTCCACATCACAGAGGTGTGTCTTCCTATATGTGGCCACAATAGAGCCTTGGGAGTAGAAGAGGAATACTCTGCTGATGATTCTGTATTCCTCCACTGCCCCCAGAGAGGGAACTACTTATAGTTAGGAACCAGAGGCATAGACATTATGTCCACAAGGTGTATGTGTTTGGGAGGGAGGAGGAGGGAGAAGAGGAGTGGAGGAAATCCAACTGGTGAATGGCCTTGAGGGCTTGGTAAATTATCTCCAAGGTCTCTGGGCAAGGAAAGTAGAAGGAGTGAAGTTGGAGGCTGAAAACGGGATTCTAGGAATGCAACTCAGAAGGGCAGGAGAGGACTAAGAGGGAGTTAGGGACTTAAAGTCTTACCCTTACTGTCTAGAAGCACATGACAATTATAGATACGCTGAGTTTGCTCCCAGTCTTGGCCACGTTCATGGAAACCACCGAGAGATATCCAGAGTCCACATTCCCTGTAGAGAGCAACAGAAACAACCGTTCTCAGAAACCTGTCTCCACCAGAGTCACCTGAACCTACTAACCCACACTGTTCCTCCTTTGCTGCCTTCCATACCTGGCAAGTCGGGCATACCGATTCACAAGATCCCCATCCAGTGGCTCAGACAGCTGAAGTGTCTCTGCTGGGTCACGCGCAATGAAGTCAAAGGCCTCAGGCAAGAAGGCCAGGCAGGCACCCAACTTGGCAGCCTCCTGAACTAATCCTGAACAGGCTGCAAAGGTCTGTTCCTTATCTGGTGTTGATGTCACCTGGCACACTGCTACCAGAGGCAAACCTCGAGAAGAAGAGGAGACGGCCATGGTCCCAGGCCTGTGAAGAACAGAATATTCAGACATCCCCAAATTGAGAAAGTGAGAGCTTAGAAGAGAATTAGACGTTTTCTCCATACATATTTCTGACCGTGACTTTGGTCTCTGACAAAGAAGGAAAACCAGCAAAAGCGGACTAGTGGTCAGCTAGAGTTTCAGTTCTTATTCTGACAGTATCCTTAAGTCACTCAACCTCCCTCGGCCTCAGGGGGCTGTAAAATGTGCTTAATACTTAAACTCTACTGAGCTATGGTTAAGTGCTTTGTAAACTATGAAAAGCTATACATGCAGATAAACAGATGAGCTGCTATTATTGGTCTACATATCTCTAGACCTAGTTGGGGACCTTCCTCCACCTTGATTAGAAGTGGTGAGAGTGGGCTTTACCTGCTGTGCTTGGTGCTTGCTGGGTCACGGAGTTGAGAGAGACCAGGAAGCCTGAATGCAGATCGCAGCAGGAACAGGCACTTTCTGGGCATCCAAAGGGTGGAGCTCAGCCTAGAGAAGATAAGGGCTCCAGGATACTCTCGCCCCACTCCCGCCCTGGAATGCTAGGACAGCGAGCGGCCCCTCCTGTGCCCACAAGCCACGTGACCAGGCCCGACCTCCGGCTCCTCCCCAGCCGGCTCTGTCCAGCCCGTCTCCTAGCGCGGGACGCTAAGCCCCCGCGAGACGGGCACGGCGGGAGTACAGGACCTCCGTGGCCCCGGCTCGCCGCCGCCCGCCTTCGGACCTCTCTTCTGAGCGCGTAGGTCACTCACTGACCTAGGACAAGTCTCCTCTCGCTCCCGACGCCGGGAATCCCTAAAGGGAAGAAAACCATCCCCCCTCCCCAGCGTCCCAACTCTGCACTCACTTCCCAGACCCCTGCCCCTCAACCAGACACGCGCTGCCTCTGACCCAGCTCGACCTTTCCCTCCTCCCACATCCTTCCCGGGAGGGGCGTTCTGGTACAAGCGGAGGAAGCCACAGAATAGGATCCTACATGGAGCCGGAGCCTCGAGGAGGGCTGTCCGCAGCTCCCTCTCTCGCCTCCCGCCCAAAGGTCTTGAAGCTTCGAGGCCATAGGGCACCCGGAAACGTCGGGCCCGCCCACCGGAAGTGCCCCTAACCAACATGGCGCTCGAGGCACAAGGCTCCAGAGGAGGCTGGGACTGAGAGTTCCGGATGTGACGCACAAGGAGGCGAGCTTGGGCTTCTAGGGCCTTAGACCTAGCGGGCGGGTAAAGATGGCGGAGAGTAGCAACCGGAGTAACAAGAGCGGTAGCAGCGGCAACAGCGGCAGCGGCGCTGGCAGCGCGGGCAAGGGGGCGGTGTCGGCGGAGCAGGTGAGGCTAGCTGCCCTCACGGCGACCCCGGCTCTTCTTTTAGGGGCTGTGGGGGCGGGGCCCGTGGCACGTGCGGTGCCCCCAGCCGCAGCCCGGGCTCGCGGACCTGGGCAATCCTGGGGCCCCCGCTGCGGAGGGAGAAGGCAAGCGCGCGGGAGGCGTGCTGGAAAACTGGGGGTGTCTGTGCTGAGGGTGAGTATGGACACGACGATGGGCTCGGGGGGAGGGGAGCCTCTCGTGACAGGAGCGTGGGACAGCAACCCCCAGCTCCATCCGTGGCTGTGGGCCCTGAAGAGGCCGATCCCCGTTCTCAGTGATTCTGGGAAAGGCCCAGAGACGGGCTGGAGAGGATCAGGCCCCTCCCTGTGAAAGAGTCACGTGAGGCCCGAAATCCACAAGTCTAGGGAAGGTCCGTGGTCTTTGAGGTGCAGGCCAGCGCCCCGAACCTGTCGTTTAGCTTGTTGGGGGAGATTTCCCCGCGTTCTACACTGTGGGCTCTTGACAGTTGGTGTTCTGGGCTAGCTTAGTCTCAGCCCGAGCTCTAAGGTCCACCCCTCCTGCGGTGCTGCAGGAAAGTGCCTGAAGGCATTTACCTGCGAGATGGCCCACAGCTACACCCAAACGACTAAGACCTACCAGGTGTTGGGAGAATTGTGTTCCAAAACATCCGCTCTTGGGCGAGTGGAAAATTGTACCCTGCTTGACCACCAGCGGTTTAGAATACTCAATGTAATAGTATGTGACTTGTCACAAAATCTTTTACCTAAAGAATGGGATTTCTGGCCCCCCCCATGTATTTTTTTAAATGCTACTTAAAATTAGAATATTCAATTTATTTAAATCTTAAAATATTTAAAAACTTGTTATTAAAATATTTTAAAAGTGATTCTTGCTCATGGCTGGCTCTGCTTTTCTTTATGCTCTTTGAAGCCAATATTTATTGAGCATTTGGGGGAGTGTCCACTGTACAGAATATAGAAAATACATACAGCCAGAAATTCCTTGATCTGGAGAGGGAGTTATGAATACAAAGCCATTCTCAGGGGAGGTGAGGAGTGAATTAGTCTCTGTGGTGCTGAGGCCTTGCTGCTTTTATGTGGAACACTCCACCTACCTCAACATAGGTTGCTGTCCCCTCATGCTGGGATGCACTTCCTGGTCTCCTTCAGAATTAAAGCTCTACTTTCTAAATATTAGTAGTAAAAATGATGAAGATAATTTGCTGTAGTTCAGTTGTTTGCAGCCTTAGGGACCACAGCACACTAATACCCTCCGTGTTATTTTCTTGGCAAAGACACTTGAATGGTTTACTGTTTTCTCCTCCAATGGATTAAGGCAGAGGTTAAGTGATTTGCCCAGGGTCCAGTAGCCTAGTATTTGAACTCAGGTCTTCCTGACTCCAGGTCCAGTGCTCTATCTACTGAGCTGCATTTGTATAGTGCTTACTATGTGCCAGGCACCGTGTGCTAATTGCTTTACAAATATCATTTTATCTTCACAACCCTGGGAAATAGGTAGCTGTTATGATTCCCATTGGGGGGGGGTGTATGATCCCCATTTTACAGATGAGATAACTGAGGCAAACAGAAGTGACTTGCCTAGGATCACATAGATAATGAGTCTGAGGCTGGATGTGAATTCAGTTCTTCCTTAGTGCAGGCCTAGAACTCTGTGGGTACTGCACCACCAGCTACTATGAGTTCTTTATTGATCACCCCTGTTGGTAATGCCTCCTCCCCAAAATTCTCTTGTATTTCTATTTATTTATATGCATATTTAGGGGGGTGTCCTTATCTGTATATGCTTCCCCTAATAAAATGTAAGCTCAAAAGCAAGGGGCTTCCCTTTTGTCTGTATAAGAAATGTCTGTGATTATGTCTGTCCGTCAGTAAACATTTATTAAGTACCTACTATGTGCCAGGCACTATGATAAGCATTGGGGGTGCAAAAAAAGGCAAAACTGGTCCCTACCCTCAAGGAGTTTACAGTCTTTCAAGGAAAGACAGGTGAACAAACATGTACAAACAAGCTAAATACAGGGAAGGCTTCCTGTAGAAGGTTGGATTTTAGTTGGTACCAGGGGGCCAGAGAAGCCAGAAGGCACAGATGAGGAAGAGCATGGTGGGGGTGGGAGGGGGAGATAGCCAGAGAAAATGTCTTCAGCTAAGATGGAACATCTTGTTTAAGAAACAGCCAAGAGGCCAGTGTCACTATATTGAAGAATATGTGGTGGGGGAAAAAGATTGGAAAGGTAGGAGGGGACTAGGTTATTAAGGGGTTCGAATGCCAAAGGATTTTCTATTTGTTCCTAGAGGCAATATGGAGCCACTGAGCAGCAGGGTGACATAGTTGAACCTGCACTTTAAGAGAATTTTTATTCTTTTCTGTTTTAAAAAAGCTTACAAACTAACCTTCTGAAACATTGGTATGACCATGTCAGTCAAATTCCCTACTCAGTAAAGTCCATTAGCTTCCTTTAGTATCAAATATAAAATCATCTGTGGCTTTTAAAGCCCTTTGAAAACTAGCCCCCTCCTGCTTTTCTGTTCTTGTTATACTTTGTTCCATATAGTCTATGATTCAGGAACATGGGTCTTTTTTTGTTTGTTTGGTTGGTTGGTTTACTTATTTTGGGTGAGGCAGTTGGGGTTAAGTGACTTGCCCAGGGTCAAACAGCTCTTGTCAAGTGTCTGGTCTGAGACAGGATTTAAACTCAGGTCCTCCTGACTCCAGGGCTGGTACTCTATCCACTGCACCACCAACTGCTAGTAGGGACCATGGGTCTTCTTGCTGGCTCCTTACACATGACATTCTACCTCCTGGCCCTCCTTGGAATGTACTACTTCGTCACTTCCACTGTTTGAATTCCTAACTTTCCTGGCCTCCTTCAAGACTCAGCTCAAATCCCACCTTCTGCTAGAAGCTTTTCCTTGCTTTCCCTCTCCCCTTCCTTCTGAGATTAACTTCCATTTCCCCTGTATGTGTACATGTTTCATGTATAGACTCATTTGGTTCTGGTCATCTCTAGCCATGCTAGAAAACATGAGAACAATATGATGAAAGGGAAGTAGAGAGTTACATATAAGCATTTGGATAGGAAAAGAAAAAAACACAGTAGGAAAGATCATTTGTAAATAGAAAATTCAGGGAGCCAGGGCATAGCATTCCCATGAGAGTTAGTGTTGGATTATTTTGCTTCTTTAAAAATTTGCAGCTAAGATTTTGGGTAGCTGCTAAAAGTATTATCTTTCTATACAGGAATGGCTGAAATTCTCTAACAAATTTAAATGGATTTAATTTGGTGTGACATCTGATTTAAAATTCACTTCTAACCTAGAAGCATCTCTGATTAGTTAACAAGAGTAATTTTGTTTTGTTTTTTAAATACTAACTTCCCTTAGTTGTTTTAACCTCATGGATTCAAGGATTGATTTTATTTCACAAAGTAATACATTTTGAGTGTGTGCTCAGAAAATGTTATCTTTTCAGGTGAGTTCTTTTAAGTAGGTTCCATCATTTGTGTTCACACAGAAGTCATTTGGATGTTGTTGGAGTCCAAGTTGATCAGTCAATATTTGTTAAGCATCTACTATGTGTCAGGCACTGTGTTAGATTCTAGAGATTCAGCAAAATTCAAACAGTCCCTGCCTTATATTCTAACAAGTTGACAGCATATACCTATATATGTAGATATAAGAAACTTGGGGGAAGGAAGGTCCTAGGAATTAGGGGCATCAGGAAAGGACTTATGCAGAAGGTGATGCTTGAGCTGACTGTTGAAGCAAACTATGGATTCCAAAAGTGGGGAGTGAGTAGAGAGTGTGTTCTAGGCATGGGAGACAGCCAGTGCAAAGGCATGGAGATAGGAAACAGTGTCATGTGTGATGACCACCAAGAAGGCCAGTTTGGCTGGATCATAGAGTATATGAAGGGAAATACTGTACAGTAAGGCTGGAAAGGTAGGATGGGGCCAGATTATAAAGGGCTTTAAATGCTAAAAGGAAGCATATTTATATGGAAGGATTGAAGTTTATTGAATGAGGGTGGGAGCGTGCCACATTGTCCCATCTGAGCTTTGGCAGCTGTGTGGAGGACGAATTGGAATGTTGAGAGACTGGAAGAAGAGTGACCAATTCGAAGGTCATTTTATTGGGCAGCAGAAGCCACTGGAGGATTTTAAATAGGGACAAAGCAAATACTGATATATTGCATAGCAAGTGAGGTACCAGAAGTAAGGAAATCTGTAGGGCTAAGATAGTAACTATGTTCCATTCTCTGGATATAAGAATAGAGAAGGGAGGGGAATAGAAGATTTGGCACTGAATTAATATGATTAGGTCAGGGTTTGGGCTAATCTCTCTGGTTTATACTCTCAGTCCTAGGCAGAAGGTAGAGAGTGCAAGCCCAGGAAACAGCTATATGTGAGGAGACACTCTGTACTTGCTCCCCTAACACCAATGTTAATACTTGTCCTGGCCATTAGCCTGAATTGGGACCCCTGATTTATACTCTTTTCTCATTATGTAGGCTACCACCTAAGAAGCTGCTCTCTTGCCATCTCCATAGGCTTCTCTCCCTCACCTCTTCTCTCTTCTCCCATAGGTGGTTGCTGGCTTCAACCGCCTTCGTCAGGAACAGAGGGGCCTGGCATCCAAAGCAGCTGAGCTGGAAATGGAGTTGAATGAGCACAGGTGAGAGGTCTGGGGGAAGATATAAGGAAGAGTTGAGGGTGCTCTGTTGGGGCTGTATC